ATAATGCAGCCATGAAGCGTGACAATGCGTTCGTGGATAGGCAGTTGACTATGAGGAAAATTGTCAGTACATGTCTGAGCTTTGAACCCTTGAGTGCACAAAGATTTCTTGTATATTAATACGAACTACTCAACTGAAATAAGTAACACAAATGTAAGCCTAAATGTCACGAAGGGGGTTCTTTCACGCAATTAAGACTTTAGCTCTGCTCTTCCCATTCGCTTGGGTTAATGCTCTACTGGATGATACACGGCCGTTCCGCTGTGCTCAGAGACATCAAAAAGCAGTACTCGACAGTGACACTCACCGATCCGGTCTCATTGTAGGACGAAACACGGACATTATGATTTGTGTTGAACCCTCACATTGCGATAATAAATCAATGATATAACAAAACTAAGGATACACACCAGGTAAAATGGAACACAAAAACATCTTTTATATCACTCAGGCGGGTTTAATTAGAAAAGTCTACTCCGGCATGGATTGCTAATGTACACTGAGATGAAGGTTACCAGAGTTTTGGAATGGCCTCATTTCTTACAGACCAAGGAAGCGTTCACACTGACAAACTGTCTAAGTAAAATCATACGGCAGATGGCAATGTCTCGTAGGTTCATTCTAGATCTCCGAGTTATTCACGCTACCAGTAATGCAAGGATATATTTAACCCGGTTGAACGCTTTTGATTGAATGTCGGACCGTTGTGACGTGCTTTACAGTGATATCGGTGACAGTCCCAGTGACCCACAAAATGTGCATATGCTCACTACCTCGATGTATCTCGCCTACACAATGGCTATTACTTTGGTAAAATTGTGATACTCATAAATAAATAAAAAGGTCAAGCACAACGCATGAATGCGCCCAATGCCTATTTCAGTCACACCGGCCGTCATGAGACAGGTATGCACCAGCGATAAACAGGGTGGTCTACAATTTCAAAGCGGGGGTAAATATCCGACACAACGGTAGAGTCGCAAAGCCGCAACCAGTCGCCATTGAAAGGATGATTTTGCGTTCTCAGAAAACCATTCTTCTTCCATTTCCTGCAAAAAGCCCTCAGCTCGCACCGGGGTCATCTCACTTACGGTATAAACTTCCAATAACCTGAAGACCCGTGTCCTGCCCTCTACCTGTGAACGTCAAAACTAGTAATATAAATGCTGTTGTTCTGATTTTGTAACCTGTACAAGGAGCTCCTCGGCATTTGATGTCACAACGTCTCGGGCGACGGAATAAACGCCTACTAAACATCGGATTTATATCACTAGGAGCCTGATTTTTCCTCTGCCTGGAAAGAGCATTGGAGCGGACGTTCGAGTTACAGCGCAAACTACTTACTAAAACACTTCCAGGAGCAGCATGCATAGGTGTTAGGTTTTTGGCGGGGTAAAGCCTACAATGAGTCTGGGCTGAA